TCAGATGAAAGTATTACAAGAGGATTCAATTAATAATTAAAGTAGATATAAGAGTTCAAACTTAAAACACAGTTTTTATAAAAGTCCATGAAATTACAAAAAGAAGAATTGAATTAGCAATAAGGTTTAATTCAGAATAGGATGATTTTAGTGAAAAGGAAATAAATACTAGAGAGCAACAGAGAGTTGGAATTTTCTGAGAATTTCAATTTGTAGCCCATGATGATATATAGGGTAAAGCCTTGATAAGCTTTCATTTTAATAGGTTGAGGAAAATTGTTAAATGCTTCGAGGGTGTTTTTCCTATGGTTGATGGGGTTTTGGTCTTCCAAATCCTGCATGTAGATTAACTTATAATAAACACTTCAAATAATGGCGCAGGTTTTTTAACTTCGGGTTTCTAAAGGGTAGATGTTTATGTGAGGGCGCTTGATGATCCTGACATGTCGATCCACGAACAAATGTTGCAAGTACAAGTCCTTTTAAGATTTTATAAATGATCCTTCAATCCTTTCTAAATGGTGAAAAATATGCTTCATTTGATTAAGAAGTCAATGCTAATTATTATTATTACTATTCAGCTTAGAAATAAAACTGAATTACTATTTAAATAATTTAAATTGCTGATTGCTTTGATGGCTTCCTGTTAGTAAAAATATTACAATTCAGGATCACCAACCCTTATCCATCTGAGAAGGATACATCACAATCAGAATCAGTATAGCTGGAATAATATTCCTGACTTCATGAATGAGGTATCTGTATGACAGAAATTGTTCACTAAAATCAAAAAATCTGCTAAATTCTTGCGCAATTTAGATAAAAGATTTTGGCCCAAAATTAAAAACACAATAAAATAGCCACAATTTAAATACATTATGAAAATCTAGAATATTATATTTAGAAAAGTAATTATTATACAACTTACGCCTCCAAATAGTAATAACATATATATCCTTTTAAACTATTCACAAATGATTAATACTAAATTAATCTTATAGAATAAATACAGATTATGTATTAGAAATTAAAAACAGCATTGAAGGGATTTTCACTCACCTTAGTTGGGATAGCTCTTAAAATAAAATTATGAATATTGAAACCAATATTTACTAATAGCTACTGTTAAAGAATAATAAAAATTTCTTAATAGAATGATAAATTATATCATCATATAAAATACTCTAGTATTTTAAGTTAACTAAAGTTGTAATCTAAAAAATTTATGATAAAAAGGGTAATATTAAATGCAGATACTAATAAAAGAATTTTCATAAATACAAGTATATTTTTAAATAATTTAGATTTAGACAAAACATAACAAGGAATAAAGGTGCTATAAGGTTTGTGAAATGAAATTACTATAAATATCATAATTTATAGAAAAAAATATCTTGATTGAAAATCCTTTGATAATTAAAATAATTTTATTTTCTTATTATGATATTATTTTTTTATTCATTATTTCAATTTCTGTTGACAAAATTCTAGATTAACAAATTAGAATACCCTTTTAATTTTTAGTCCTTTAATCATTTGGGTTTAATTTTAATTTTCTTTCATAATATATCAGAGCTTCTTAATATTTTTCTTAATCTTGTAAACAGTTTCCTTGATAGGAATTAAAAAATACCAAGCCTATCAAGACTAAATGTGTGGTTGGGATTAATAGAAAGTGCAAATTCTAGAACTTTTTCAGACTTATCATATTACTTCATAAATCTTAAACATTCTCCTATTAATATAAAAGTGATAAAATCTACCTTTATTACTTAAGGTAAAAACATCTTTGGGATCAATAGTTAATGCTTTGTCCAACCAAGTAATTGCATCCTAATATTTATTCAACAATCTTAAACATGCACCTATTAATATAAAATGATGAAATCTACCTTTATCACTTAAGGAATTAACATGTTAGGGATCAATAGCTAATGCTTTGTCCAACCAAGTAATTGCATCCTCATATTTATTCAACAATCTTAAAGATTCTCCTATTAATATAAATGATGAAATCTACCTTTTTCATTTAAGGAAAAAACATGTTTGGGATCAATAGCTAATGCTTTGTCCAACCAAGTAATTGCATCCTCATATTTATTCAACATTTTTAAACATGCACCTATTAATATAAAAATGATGAAATCTACCTTTATCACTTAAGGAATCAACATGTTTGGGATCAATAGCTAATGCTTTGTCCAACCAAGTAATTGCATCCTCATATTTATTCAAAAATTTTAAACATGCACCTATTAATATTAAATGATGAAATCTACCTTTATCACTTAAGGAATTAACATGTTTGGGATCAATAGCTAATGCTTTGTCCAACCAAGTAATTGCATCCTCATATTTATTCAACATTTTTAAACATGCACCTATTAATATAAAAATGATGAAATCTACCTTTATCACTTAAGGAAAAAACATGTTTGGGATCAATAGCTAATGCTTTGTCCAACCAAGTAATTGCATCCTCATATTTATCCAACATTTTTAAACATGCACCTATTAATATAAAAATGATGAAATCTACCTTTATCACTTAAGGAAAAAACATGTTTGGGATCAATAGCTAATGCTTTGTCCAACCAAGTAATTGCATCCTCATATTTATCCAACATTTTTAAACATGCACCTATTAATATAAAAATGATGAAATCTACCTTTATCACTTAAGGAAAAAACATGTTTGGGATCAATAGCTAATGCTTTGTCTAACCAAGTAATTGCATCCTCATATTTATCCAACATTTTTAAACATTAGCCTATTAATATAAAAATGATGAAATCTACCTTTTTCATTTAAGGAAAAAACATGTTTGGGATCAATAGCTAATGCTTTGTCCAACCAAGTAATTGCATCCTCATATTTATTCAACAATCTTAAACATTAGCCTATTAATATAAAAATGATGAAATCTACCTTTTTCACTTAAGGAAAAAACATGTTTGGGATCAATAGCTAATGCTTTGTCCAACCAAGTAATTGCATCCTCATATTTATTCAACTTTTTTAAACATACACCTATTAATAATTTAGTATTTTCACCTTTTTAGTATAATGATTTCTAATTATTGCTATTTATTAAAATTGATTTATCTAATAATTCTAATGCCTCTTTATATTTATCATCCCAATATAATTTTTATCCTAAAATTAATATTAAGATTACCTTAATTGTAAAGATCTTCAGATAACTTAATGTCATTCTCATCAATTTAATAATAATTAAATGAAGTTAATTATAATTATTCATATAAATTATTAAATGAATGAGTTAATTTCTTAACCTATTCTTCAATGATTTTTGAAATTGATTATTTATATTCAGTTAACTTGACAGTTGAATTCAAATAATCATTTATTTAATAAGAATTCAAATTCACTATTCTTTCTTTTAATAATGAATATTTATTTCTGATTCCTCTTATTAATTAAGAGAATGATTGATTCACACTTTGTATATATTTGTTAAGATCATCAATCAAATTATCGCACTCTTTATTATTACCTTCTAGAAATGGAATTAAAGTATTCATTTTTTTAACATCATCAAAATGGTTATGATGGATTCCCTTTTTAAAACAATCAAAACAATTTAATCGAAATCCTGGACAAAACTCATTATAACAAATAAAATCAATCTCATCCTTATGATCATCTTCTTAACATTTTAACTTTAAATTAGTTTATTACATCATTTTTTAATATTTAATATCAAATTTATATTTATTCACACACACGTATTTCAATAATCTGAATTCTATTATTATAAATTCTAATTAATTATATTTATATATTTAATTTAATTTAATTTAATTTATCTAAATCTATTCATATATCTATTATTTTCTAAATATTTTAACTTATATCATTTTGAATGAAAATCAATTGAATTTAGATGCTAAAAATATCAAACCTATTAATAAAAATTTTAGAACCAAAAATAAACTCTGCCCTAATGAAAAGATTTACTTTGCATGTAATATTATCCCAGCTATCATAAATATTCTTTTTACTGATATAAAAGGACTTTATCCTTATATAACACCACTGGAGATTACAATGAATCCTCATTTACATAATTATACTATTTCTTATTAGTTTCACGGTTATTTCTTTTTCTTAATAAGAAAAATATTTTGGATATTGCTTGAATTCATTTTATAACAATTAGCTTTTAGTTTAGGCACTATATATTATACTTGTACTGCAAATTCAATTCGAGATTTAAGGAAGATATTGATTATTAAAATAGTGAAAATTAATTAGATTTATCTAATCCAGTTTTGAGACCACATTTTCCCGAATGTTTCGCCTCTTAAGTTCATTCATATAACATTCACACTCTTGGCTTAATATTGATAATTTTTATAGAGTAATCTTTAAGTTATTGTTTATTGAAAGAGGTTAAAATCCAATAATCACGCTTTTAATAGGAAAACACATAATACTTTAAGCCTCTAGTGTCACTTGTGTATTCTTTCAGCGCTCATTAAGTTTTAGTTCAATGAGCAATGCCAAATCCTATGAGCTGAAAAAATTCTTCTGATTAACATAACCTAATATTCAGAAAAATTCTAAATTTCTGATTTTATAATGGAATTATTTAATAAGTCAAAATTTAGAATATGCAAGGAAGTTTTAAAGACGAAAAACTGGAATACTTCTCCAGATAACTTTCAAATATCGAATTTTATTTCGAAAGTTTAAGAGTAGAGTTAAAAATTATAATGTTAGCAAACATAAATCTCATTTTGAATTAGAATAATTCTCCATAACTTTCAAATTCCATTGTTGTTTTCTGATTTAAGTTTTTAAGAAAGTTTCTATAATTATTCTGAATAAGAGAATTAGGAAAGCGTTCGAAAATATGTTCTAATTACTTAGGCGTTAAAAGTAATTCAATAACTATTTCTATAAATTATTTATTTAATTACTAATATAATATTAATATCTATCATTTTTTGTTTTATAAATTTTATTTTAATATTAATTGTAATAGTTAATATATTTAGAATCATAGCCATTTAACTTACTCATCTTAAGTTGAAAGTAACTCATTAAAAATATAGCCTTCTAATTTGAAAATCAAAAATATACATTCGATCAATCATTATTTTCAATTTTGAATTCTTTAATCCTTATAGAATTTCAAGTATCTCTTTGTTTACAGTTTAACTTTAGAAAATTTTATACATCTAAGCCAAAGCATCTATTAATAAAATAGTGTAATTCTAGACCCAATTCGGTAGCTCTTAAATAGTTTTAATGACGTATATCAGTCTAATAGGGATTTTTCGAATAAATCTATTGAACAAGTTTGATATAAACACTTATTATATAACTCCTCCTGTATATTTAAATCCAGGAAAGTCAATCAATATTGGTATAATAATAATGCTGTTCTTTTGTGATAGAAATTATAACAGAAATCATTTCAGAAGTATCTTTTTCATTAAGGTTTTAGAGCTAGAAAGTTAGATTCTTTATTTATTTCTTTCCTCATTTGGAATTCAAATCATTAGAGAAAATTAAATACTGCGCTTCTCCTATCTTCTTTTGATCCAGAATTGCTACTTTTGAATTTATTCTAATTATTCATCAAATCAAAAACTTGCTAATTTTATTAATCATCCTATCTTATTCTTTGAATTAATCATTCTATAAAATCATCATCAAATACTAGTGTATTTTTAATTTTGCATTTTAAGAGTAAATGCTGAATAAATATAAAACATTTCTTTTTGAGACAATAAAGAAAAAGAATAATTAATATTAATAAAATATTATCAGATATTTAAGGATTCGATTTCAATCTTTGTAAATTGAGAGAATAGATTACCTCTTTAAAATTGAAGCCATAACAGTTAATAGCTGAAAGGATTATAGTATGGAGATCTGAATATTTTATACCTTATCTAAAA